TGTTATAATATATATTTCTATAATATTTTACTGCTCATATATCAGTTATAACAAAATCAGGACTCTTGAATATAAGTTTTCCAAGAATGTGCAAGAAGAATGAAAGATGATTAAAGCCGATGATCGTCCTCTTATCAATTCCTTTATACGATCGATAATGTAATATATTCCGGGCTAATTAATACTTTCATAATTGTGTGCACATATGTAAACTGTTTCAATGAATTATTATGGATCGATACGACGGTAATTAGCATGATTGATCGAAGCTTGCACATCACTTTTCGTTGTTTTTTTTCAGGTGGAACATATTACATGATTTCCAGATCATTGGGACCCGAGTTTGGAGGCTCTATAGGTCTTATATTTTCTTTGGCAAATGCTGTCGCTTGTTCCATGTACGTGGTCGGATTTTGTGAGAGTTTAGTGGATTGTCTTGGTTCCTTTAACCTCTGTATAGTCGACTGTGCGACCACAGATATTAGGATTATAGGTTTGTAAGCGCGCTTTAAAAGTTTGATAGAGAATTTACATTTTAATTATGATCCCGTTTTTAATTCACGCTCTAAAATCATATCGAGCGCGATGCAAATAACACTCGCGTTATATTTTCAGGCTGTATAACAATAGTTGTACTTCTAATAATCGTGATAATCGGTTTGGAATGGGAAGCAAAGGCACAAGTATTCTTGCTAATAATCCTCCTTTTGGCTATCGCCGATTTTATGATTGGTACCTTCATCGGTCCCAAGAGCGAGGAAGAGAGGGCTAAAGGATTTATCGGATACAACGGTAACGTCCCATTAATATTCCTTATGGTATATTATACTTTCCCTCGATGTTTTTATATACGTCTCATAATCATAATTAATAGGTATGGGATTATGAGAGTATCAATTAAAAAATTTTATTTATGATTTGCAGCCGAACTGCTTAAGGAGAATTTGTATCCGAATTATAGATACAGCGAAGGCGTGGAACATAATTTCTTTTCGGTCTTAGCCATTTTCTTCCCAGCAGCAACAGGTATCCTGGCAGGTGCAAATATATCTGGTGACTTAAAGGTAACTTAATCCTTTCATCTATATATGAGAGATATTCAAATATCGTCAATTCTCGATACGATTATTGTCTATTTGATTATTCATCAGTTAAATAAAAGAACGATGAAGAAACTTGCGCTATGTTTCTTTATCATCGCAATTAATCGCAGAAATCAGCGAGAATCTTACACGTGATGCGAAACTTCCGCGCAGCTTCGGAATTTTATTTTGTATTCGACAGGATCCGCAAACGGCGATACCGAAAGGCACTCTACTAGCGATTATCCTAACATCGCTGTCATACCTAATGATGGCGATCATGGTCGGGAGTACCGTTATGCGAGATGCATCCGGCAACGTTACTGATTTATGGTCGACGTATTCTTCTTCTTCGGTGCTATCAATACTTAACGCAAACAATAGCACTGCGATCGGAAATGATACGGTTATCATTGAGAATGCCAATCGCACTTGGAGTAAATATCAAACGGCTTTTAACTGTACAGAAGGATGCAGTTACGGCACTCATAACAGTTTCGAGGTGTTTACATAATAATTATTAATGAAATTCGAATAAAATTAATCCCTAAAGATTTTAATTAGATCAAAATATGAAAGCTATTTGCTAAAATATTAGTTGAATTGATAATATATTATTAATATTTAAACATTTATGAATAGCTATTATCAATTACCGAAAAACAAAATTGAATGTAAAAATTGAAATAAGTTAATGTATTATAGGTGATTCAACTAGTTTCCGCTTTCGGTCCTATCATCTATGCCGGTTGCTTCGCGGCTACAATTTCAAGTGCCTTAGCATCGCTAGTCTCAGCACCGAAAGTATTCCAAGCGCTTTGTCTTGATAAGCTGTATCCGGGAATTGTGTGGTTTAGTGGAGAAAAAGACAAGGAGCCGATTCGCGGTTATTTACTCACTTTTATCATTGCTGTCGGTTTCATCTTGATCGGTAAACAATAAAAAGATTCTATAATTTAACCGAGATATTTGTTTCTTTCAAAAATACGTGTAATTCGATTTCTTTTCAGGTGAATTGAACGCGATCGCGCCGCTTATCTCGAACTTCTTTTTGGCAGCTTATACTCTCATTAATTTCAGTACCTTTCACGCTTCTCTTGCTAAGCCAATCGGATGGCGGCCAACTTTCAAGGTATAATATCATAAAAATATACATATCTCTGCGGCATTATTTTATTTTTATATATTTTATATCTTTTCGCGTTATTTCTATTTGATAATAATTTTTGTTATTTTCTAGTATTACAACATGTGGCTTAGTCTTGCTGGCGCTATTCTTTGCGTTTCTGTGATGTTCCTGATCTCATGGTGGACGGCTCTAATAACGTTATGCGTAGTTTTAGCGCTATATTTAATAGTCTCATATAGAAAGCCTGGTAATTTCAATAGAAATTAATTTTTATTTAAGCATTGATTAAAAAACAAAAAGATTATGTAACGAGTTTTATTGTGTGACGTATGTTCTTTTCAACGAATATATATTACAGATGTAAATTGGGGTTCAACCACACAAGCCCAGACTTATAATAACGCGTTGACCGCTGTGCAACAATTGGACCGAGTGGAGGAGCACGTGAAAAATTATAGACCGCAACTCTTGGTTCTCACTGGCGTGCCAAACATGAGATCTTCGCTCGTCGATTTCGCTCATCATATCACCAAACATCAGAGTTTATTTATTTGTGGTCATATTGTCGAGGTACCCATCGTTGGTTTCTATTTGATTTAAATTATCCACGCGATAGAAAGTGTGTCATAACACATTCATATTCGTGTGTTTCAGACACCCATATCGTACAAGACGCGCAATAGCATGGTGCAAAACTGTTCTTCCTGGCTCAGAGCGAACAAAATCAAGGCGTTTTACTCCGTAGTGGACGGCGCAAGCTTCCAAGATGGTGCTACCTCGCTTCTGCAAGCCGCCGGACTCGGGAAAATGAGGCCCAATATTCTGTTAATGGGTTATAAGCAAGATTGGGCCACTTGTCCCCAAAATAATTTGGATATGTATTTCAACATTATGCAGTAAGTCGCTGTGTTTTCGTATATAGTCTTGTGTCATATCTTAATCAACTTGTAATTTCGTAGAAGCTCTAATTTTGATAATCTTTCTATCTTTTTTTCTTTCTTTATTAATCCTCTGACAAAATATATACTACGTTACATTCTCATTTTCTCTGTTGTATCTTGCAGCAAAGCTCTGGATATGCATATAGCAGTAGCGCTTCTTCGGCTTCAGGAAGGTTTGGATTGCAGCGCGATCGGAGATATCGAGGAGCAAAAAAAGCTCATGCCTACATCGATACCAGGCAATCAAAGTTTCTCGCAGCTTAGCCAAGGTTCTTGAAAAATTACATATTTTTTTATATTTTTAATCATTTTCCTTTTTTTCTAAGAAATGATGATTGAATGATAATTATTGCAGCTAGTAGTGTATCTGATATATCAATTCCTGGCAGTCCTACGCCGAGACGTTCGAAAACGATTAACGAATATCCCAATCCGCCCTCCGAGGAGCAACGCGAAAATCGATCAAATATAATGCCAATCACGAATATACTTAATGTAGTAACGAAGTTCCAACGGAAGCATAAGAAAGGTACTATCGACGTGTGGTGGCTATACGATGACGGTGGCTTGACGCTTCTCTTGCCCTACATTATTAGCACGAGGCGTAATTGGTCTAATAGCAAATTAAGGGTATTTGCGCTCGCCAATAAACATTCTGAATTGGAATATGAGCAAAGAAAGTAAGCATTTTTTTTAACAATAGTTTTGACGGAAAATAATGTTTTCGATAATTAATATTCGTTTTTTCGCAGCGTGGCAAGTCTCCTATCAAAATTTCGGATAGACTATTCCGCATTGAAGGTCATACCAGATATTTCAAAACCGGCACAAACCAGTACAAAGACATTCTTCGATTCATTAATAGCTGGCTTCCAGGAATCAACTGATTCGAAAAATTCGGATGACGGTATTGAGTCGTTTCTCTCTTTATAAGTTTATTCTATAAATAACAATTCTATAAATACTGGCTATATATTAACCACAACCTTTTCGTTTCAGATGTTATTAAAGATTCGGAACTTATAGCAATGAAAGAAAAAACCAACAGACATCTACGTTTGCGTGAATTATTACTTGAAAATTCCATGGAAGCAAACTTAGTCGTTATGTGAGTATTTACATCGCATACTTTGTTATATATACTTGGACAGATTTTAATTAATAATTGTACTGTATTTGTGTAGGACACTTCCAATGCCTAGGAAAGGTGCTGTGTCAGCGCCTCTTTACATGGCATGGCTAGAGACGCTTACGCGTGATATGCCACCATTCTTATTAGTACGGGGTAACCACACGTCAGTTTTAACGTTTTACTCATAATAATTGACGAAAGATTTATATGTAAAAATAGATTCTCGCAGCTGGTGACAATCGCAGTATTATAAGAAAAAAGAAAGACTTAATCATCTGTATATGCAGAGGAAATTGATTTGATTATTGATAAGAAATTTAAAGTCATACATATATAATGCTAATATGCTTTAGTTTATTATTGCTTTTATCATTATTGTGAGAAAATGCAAGTGAACTACTATTGAAGAATATGTGCCTATCAGAAATAATCTTTCATAGATATTCATGTCACATCTTTCTAAATGACCAGGATATTTTATAATCTCCAAAAAATTCCGACAAAGTCTGATTGTGAAGAGATTAATTATGCTTTATAAATAGTCAAACTAAACGATGATAAAAATGTGACAAATATAATCTGTAACATTATTTAATTGTTCGTCATGCAACCTTTCTGTGTGCACCTTATCTTAAATAACTTAAATTTTTGAAATGAGTATTTTTTGAAAAACTTTTTAAGGGGAATATGTTTTGTAATTGGTAACTTATTGATAATTTTAAAAAATTGCATTTTATTATAGTCTATATATTCAAAAAACTCAAATAATTTTTGTAAAAAGTTTTATATCCCTATGTATAACATATGCGAACTTATAGATCTTTGACAATCTTTATATATAATACAGAATATAAATTATAATAGATTCTGTAAATACCATACAACTGACTGGATTAAAAGATTTGCCTATTTTTATATGTGTTGTTTTATAATCTTGATAATGTCTTAAAAACACTATATATTTTATCATGGAAAATAATATAAAAAATAAATGCCGATGTTTCTTTTCTTTAAACACAGAGTGAACACATATACAAGTTGTAAAAGCATTATATATATAAGATCACCTAATCTCGTTATTATTGTGTACAAAATACTATAACTTGTCATAGCAAACATTTCATATTTTTTTAACCATAAATACGATAAAATCGGTGATATCGCAATTTAAGAATGGTTCAAATATATTGCGTAGTGTCTCAAATGTGTATTAAATTTTAAACAGAAATTTTATATGTCGATTTTTGTGCTTAAACTTTTAATTATGTAACTTTGATAAACATGATTTCACTGTAACAACTATCATGCTTTTACATATCGATAACTTTGCGATATATTATTAGGTGATAGATATATATTTATTTAAATGTTTTAATGTGAACACGTTTCAGACTAGTTGCAGATGTGTTTCAGGAGTCAGAATACTGATAATTTACGATATCCTTCCTAATCGTGTAAATTTTTCATATTATAAATAATCTATCATTAATTTCGATTCAATTCTATGCTATAATAAGAATCAATATTCCAACCCCCCACCTCTATATATAAAATTGGATTTGTGCCATATTATAGTATGTGCCATACTTGTATTCATATTGAGGACTATGAGATATAAATGTATTATAGTATATTTTTTAGGATATCGTAGAAGAAAAAGCTGCACGAAACAAACAATAAATAGAGCAAAAAATACTTAGGAAATTATTGAAGAAAAAATCTATAGCTGCACTTAAAGAAATAAGAATTATGTGTATAAAAAACAAAAAATTTAAATAAATGGCAAGTGTTTTTTTGCAAAAAGCATAGATATAAAATATAACTTAATATAAAATCTGAATATATTACATTTCTACTCTAAATATATAAAAATTGTGTATATATATATGTGTGTATATATATTAATAATCTCTTCAAATACTAAATCTCTTTCTCTCATAAAGAAATACTAAAAATGATACAGTAACTCTTTAAATTAGTTAAAAAATATTTATCAGAATGTTGGGATGACATATTGTCATTGTATGTCATGCATTGCATCGTGTTTCGTCGCAGACTCGACAAGAAAAGAGAATTTGGTTTTACATTTCGTGTACGCGGATAGCACTGGCGATGTGTGTAGTTTGCGATTAGAAATCGCGGAATATATCATTTTCTTTTCCCGTTTAAATGCTACGAATATGTCGCGGTCTGCGCACTAATAAACAACAGGACGACAACCCGGAACTAACCTTTGCCAATTCAGACAAACGCAGCGATCTAGTCGGGAATTCTACTTTCTCAGCGAAGACCTTACTCGATTGCGGGATCTCGTCCTCCGATCGATGAATGAGCGTGCCGTTCACATAGAGCACATTAGCAGCTGCGTCTTCGGGCACGGTCAATGTTTGGTAACTGTACGTTGCCTCCCGTTCGATTCTCTATATTTTGAATCAAGAGAGATAAGCATCGTAATTTTTTTATATACTGAGTCATTAGTCTCAGAAAGGACCTTGTTCCAAATTTGTAGAAAGAGTATAATATTTGTTATATAAATTTAAAAGTTTTGGAACAATATCTCTTGTGTAAAATAATTTGTTAACATTTTACATTAATATATAAAGATTAACCTTAAGAACTTCTTGAGATTCCTTTCCAGCTCCTACACATATAACATCTGGACCAGCCATTGTAACTAGCGATTTCAAGCGTTTGGATTCAGCCACCTAAGCAGAAAATCACCATGAGTTACTATCTCAAAAATTATGATGGGAGATAATCATTAAAGTATTGCAATGCACTGCATAATCAATGTGTAATTTTACCATATTTCATATATTACATATTCTTAAGAATTGTCAATATCTGAATAAACTGAAAATAATTATTATATTCAGTTTTGTAAACTACCTATAAACTATTTTATGAATCAAATGTCTTTATTTTTTAATGCAATTTTTTATTAAACTTTTTCTAAATATATTTTAAATGTATATGTATAAAAACGTTTATTATAACACGATTTTCTTAATGCATTATTGTAGTATAATAATTGTTAATATGTCAGCATATTATGCACAGTGTTTCATGTAATAAAAAAAGCAAATGTGTATAATCTAAAAATTGCATACACTAGACTTATACTCAATTATATAACATTTGTACAACGATGATAGAAATAAAATGAGAAATGCCCTTAAATATTTCATTTAAAGTTAAATGAAATTGTATGCATGCTAAGGTGAGTGAATAAGTTTGCAATATTGTTCAAGTGCACAGCTCAAGTGCTAAGCAGGAATCTGTGTAACCTGTCTTATTCCTAAAGCAATTTATAAAATTCTGAAATAATTTCATATAAAAAGAATATTATTTAAAATAAGTGCAAGTTTGCATTTATAGCTTGTGAAGTTATTTACTTTCTTTTCTTTTTCTTTTTTATAATTAATAAAATATTAAGAGTCACAGTTTAGTGCACCCAAACCTGAAGAGGAGCTGAGGTAAGACTCTCCACTATCACCTCTTCACCACCATCACCCACCTTAAATGAACATTAGAAAAATAGGTGAGTGAATATGATATTTTCTCTATCGAGGTTCAAAGCAAGTCTAAAAGGCACATATTGCTATATGTTCTATAAACAAAACATAATATGCTATAAAAAAACACAAAATTATTGTTACTACTCGATTGAAACATGCATCTATGTATATTGTTAATATATACAGGATGTTTCATTCTAAGTGTGATCAACTTCAAGAATAAATTTAGTACTGAAAGACAAGGAAAAAAAGTTGATTAGTAAATATAATAACTGCATTTCAATACTGATTTAATTTTTGAAGCAGTTTATAATAATCATGAAACATTCCATATACATATACACACACATATATATATATATAATGTAATGAAGATGCAAGATGTAAATGCTTTCAAAAATGGAAACAGGAATATTATGAAGTAATACCAAATGTAAATTTGATGAATCTTGTAAATTAATACTGCATGAAAAAATGTAGGTATAAAAGATTTTATAAATAAAAGATATCTTTTGTTTTAATATTTTGATGCACATTTATATTAATCATTTTTATGCATAAAGTGATACATACACTGGGTACATGACTGTAACATTGATTGTTCAAGACAATCTAATGATATATTGATACATGCAGTTTAGTAAATTATGGGAAAAATTTGTGATTGTTTTATGTAAAATTATAAATAAAATATATAAAATATTAGTAATTTCCAAATATCGCATAATGTACATATATTAATTTGTAAACTTTACAGAATTGTATTACTGACCTTAATGGGTACACATGGATATTCTGGAAATGCTGCAGCAACTGCTCGTGCCCCTGCTTCATTTGTAAAGTGAGAAAGTCCAACAAAAAATTCTCTACCTGTAATAAGACACTTATTTATTTACATTAGCAAATGAAAAACTTCAAAATATTTTCAATATTTACAAGTCAGGTATAAGTATTTAGTCATATATTTAATATAAAGTGTAGAATTTACCAGTGAAGAGGACATCTCCTCCATCCAAGCGAGCATTCTTATCACTTATTTCTATAAGTGGTATTTCTAATTCTTTCTTCAAAACAGCTCTGATGATATCAAGCTGAAAAATAGCTATAATTCAGATAGGAACAATAATTAAGTCAACTTTATTTTATAACATATGATTATTATTACTAACATCATTATTATTAACAACATAATATATTTCATTAATTTTTTTCGATATTCATAGTCACTCGTTATTAATGCTTCAATTGTCAATGAGGTTCCAATAAAAGATCTAAATAATAATAATATATACCTCTTTAAGACGCGATGGCTCGCTCGGCCGGGCGATCAAGGCGATGCCGTTACAGACGACGGCGATGTCCTCGACGAAAACGCAGAGCGGCGAGTTTTCGTCGGGCGGCATCTCGACGACGTCAACATCAAGCTCACGCAGGAGCTGCGCCAGGGCCAGGTGTTGCGTCCTAGCTTCGTCCAATGTCACCTCGCCCCGTGTGCGCAACGACAACGGGATTCTGCACAGAATCGCGTGCGTGTACCGGTGCAGCGGCATGCTCGTACAGGTGTATTATTTTCGCCAACGAGCAAACGCGCGGAAAAGCGACGCACGGCTAGAATTTGACGTTTGACGTTTGACGCGAAATGACGGCGGCGGTCAGGCCCGGCAATCGCGATCTGCTAGGAATTCTGAGAGTTTTCACTAGGAAATTAAAAGTACCCGTTTAGGGTGCGTTCAAAAATACTACTCATGAAATAGAGCGGCGTTGAATTGACCAATCAGAATAAAGAAATCCTAGTTTCTTTTGTCCTAATCCAATCTGATCAATATGAATAGTCTATATTGTACTACGTCTATGGTGTAAGACACTTGATATGTAAAGTCACTAAACGTAAGCTTATTCGATATTCAAATGCCGGTATTCAATGCGCAAAGAAAGGAGGTCAAGGATTACTTTTTTTCAATGAAGCGCAATTACGCTAATTTTCAGTACGAGATCACAATGATGCATTTAGTCTACGAATGCATATTCTTCTATAATTACGTCAAATTGCATTTTTAGTTTAAAAAACCTTCGAATGATCTGTAACCTAACTTTGATAATTTTGCACAATTTTTTAAATACTGTTTTCGCAATTTCTATATCTTAAATTAAATAGTATTATATGTTTAAAAAAGCATATCCGTTAAAAAATCTCGTTATAGTTAATATATGTAATATATTATACGTTATATTACAGCGTACACGATGAAAAAAAAAAAAAAAAAGCAAATTAAATTTAACGGGCTAACCAAGCTAGTATACCTAACCTTCAAAATCGATCGGAACGCTTCATAGGCGTTCACCTACACCGAGAAATAAAGCTTCGTTTAAGAACTTGTTAACCTCGTAACCGCGTGAAATTTTATTGGGTCAAACGAAATGACCTTCGCATAAATTCAATTGGAAATTGTCTCAGCATGGCAAAAATAACTCGAACTGTCAAACGTTCGCCGAAACTCGACACCAGAGTGATGTAGATACCAGTCTTTCACCGATGACATAAGATGATATTGCGTCGCGTGCCGTAATAATAATGCGGCTCAGATTCGTCAGGGCGGTCCTGGTGCTCGCGTTGTTGGGTAATATCATCGTCTGGCACAGGATATGGCGGTTGTTCGCGGCGCAAAACACCCTGGGCCTATTGACGCCGAATGTCGGGACGAACGAGCCCCCGCAGAAACTTCATCGACGCTTGGCCCGCCTAGTCACTATTGTCATCAGGCAATTTGAGAGTTTCGAAAACGATGTAGCGTCCATGGTGGAGACAGTTTTGAATTCCTTCCCGGAGATACCCGTCCTGATAGTATGCGATGAAGTGCCGTATCCGCCGTTGGAGCTGGACTTTGCCAACGAGAGTATGAAGAACGTCAAATTGATCAGTTTACGGCCCGAGTTCAATAAGTCTTTTGACGAAAGAAATCCACTCTTTTACATACGCACCAAGTTTGTCCTATTTATGCCTGATGCAACAAGATTGTCGACCAAGCAAGTCATACAGGTAAATATATATTTGTTACGATATACATGAAGAAATATTTTAAGAGAGAGGATATAACTCAATTTTATTTTCTTTGGTGCATATTTTACAGGAGACCGTCTCGCAAGTGTCAAATTTAGGAGTAGTTATTGTACCAATAGGGAAGATTGCTTTGCATTGCCTCGAGTTAGATTTAAGAGTGAAAGAATGGAGTTTGAGGATAACGCGGATTACAGGAACAGAATGTGATAGTGTAACGGGCAAGCATGTAACTATGCTTGAAACAAAAATTTTAAGGAGATTATCGGATCCGTTTCTGCTACCTTTCATGGACGCTTTGTACATCCAGATGGCAGCTATTGGTGTAAAGGTTTGCAATCTATTTTTATTAATTTAAGATAATCATTTATTGTTTTTTTGCTTCATTTATTTTATGACAAATTCATTGATTTACTCATATGTAGCATTGTCATAGTTCCATGATTATTTAAATCTAATTGGATTTATGCAATCAAAATTGAAATACAGACAGTTATGTCTATAATATATATTTTATGAACATTTTGTCTTTTATCATGTGTTCTTGTGTCAGTGATTATTAATACACAAATTTGTGTTTAAAACTATTTTATTTATGTGGTAAGTATTTTTTATACATTGCATATTTCCTTTTAAAAACGTGGAAAATTATTAACATCTTTTTTATATTTTTTACTAGGAAAAAACCCTATTATTTTATTTTAGCATTTATGTTCACTGCGATTAAACAAGTGCTTATGATGATGTAATATGTGTTATTAGATACATATATTGAAAAACTATCAATTCAACGAGGGAAAACCGTTATATAGAAACCAACAAGCACAATCTAAGATGCAGCAATTGCATCGTACGCGGGAGCGATTGATGTTTGAGAAATTGGGAATAAAGAAGATTACGAGGGCTTCCGGTTCTGTGGAGTGGTATGGTTGTTCACGGGAAACTGCGAGGTGCTTTGGTTCGGTAATAAACGGCGTACCGTCGTATCTTTATCTGCATCGATATACGCCGCCTTGTTGTTTGGCTGGACTGAGAAAAGTCGCCCATCACGTTATTGACAAACTGGAGGAAGTCGGCATACGATTCTGGTTGGAGGGTCAATCGCTACTGGGAGGAATGAGACACGGCGATATTTTACCGTGGGATCACGAAGTACAAATTGGACTGAACCGCGACGATTTGGCGAGATCGCCGTGGCTGGTCAGGGCAAGGAGTAAGCCAGTTGTTGACGATAACGGTTTTATCTGGGAGAAGGCGACGGAGGGCGAGTTCTTCAAGGTACAGTACTCCAGGGTTAATCGTTTGCACGTGAACCTGCTGCCATTCTACGCACGCAATGGATCCATGACGAAGGACGCGTGGTTCCTGAAGAACCGGGACTTTCCGGAGCACTTTCTCCATCCGATGTCGAGCATCGAGTTCGCCGGTAGACAAGTGCCATGCCCAAATAACATTAGGGACTTTTTAGAGCTTAAATATTTCAAAGGTGTGATAGAGAATCCGGAATTACCAGGTAAATTTGTTTTTAATTAATTTGTTTTCGAATAATTGCGCGAATTATTCGCGGGAGTCTATAACAATATTTGTTGCCTCATTTGATCAAGAAATTGGTACTTGTTGCGGCTAAGTCGCATTTATTGTTGCTATCGAATTGATAATTATATCGATTATGCATGTATCTAATGATACTAGGAATTATTTATGCATGAAGATATTAAGATCTGAATAAAAATTGCAACTCGACATTCTTGCAATGTCTCCTTTCTAAGGGAATGACTCGTAAACGCATTTCTATTTGCCTTATTCGGACCCTACTTCAATAAGGAATAATGACAAATAATTGTTATCAAATTTTATCTTAACATCTCTGAATAATTCAGCTTAGAATAGTGAAATTCACAAACTTCCTTCTTGCATGAATTGAACTGTTAATATTGTGCCAAATAAACTTAGTATTTTTGACTAAATCTTATTGATATAGATGTTGATAGATTTTTCCATTATGAATACTAACTTTTAACTAGCTTTACTATTGATTCATTAGTAGATACTAATATAGTCCATATTAGAGAGAGAGATTTATAAATATTTAATATTAACGATTTTAAAAACGGATTTAAAATTTCATAATATTTTATTTGATAGGGGGAAAAGCATTTAAAAATAATATAATATATTTTGAACAATTCTACAAGATTAGAAATATTTCGTAAATATATATATATTGTAGAAATTTGATTGTTCCAGTTCTGCTCAATCAAAAATCGTAATTTTAAGAGGAAATAAGGAAAAGCTTCAAGAATAAAAATTATATGTTGTTTTATGTTCAGAAAATTGTGTAAATAACATATTTTATTTGGATTATTTAAATCAATTTATTTAGTTTCATCGTATTAAGCAGTGGCTGCTGGGAATTGTTCTATTATTATATAATGATATTTTCAAGCAATATATATAAATTCAAGTATATAAACTACTTTGTAGAACTATTTGACATCTATTGCATAATTAGTGCCAATTTATTTGTAAAAATATAGATATATATATGTATATATATATATCCATCTGTTAAAGCATATATTAATAAAGTACTGTTGTTTACAAAAAATTATAATCCGTTTTATGTTTGACATATCAGTTTTAGCTGACTGTTCTTACGTCTTTAGGTGGAATCAATACTGGAGGTTCTCGTACAAAACTGAGCAACTTCTCCAATTTCATCGATTCCAACTCTGTTTGCGACAAGTGTAGTTGTTTCTTTGTTGGTTTTACTTTTATCCGTAAATTTGGGGATAGTTTTAGTGTATTCACAGTGCCTCTGTATAAAATAAAATATTGAATATAAACAAACACTATAAATTATATAA